ATAACTTATATGTGAGAAGGTACTTCAGCTCTTTGGTTTCTTTGACTCTATATTCATACAGGCTGTTTTTTGAAATTATGAATCCCAAAAATCCTAATTTTCTTCTAGAAGGTATAACTCTAGTGTCTCCTAATTTTAACGATTTCAAATAATCCTTCGCTTCTTCTAAGAAATTGAAATATTGTTTAGTAGCAGGTGACAACGGTTTCTCATAAGGTATTTTGACATCCTATTCCTTGAATTAAAAACATCAAATAAATTGTTTACTGTTCTACAAAAATATGCTGTAGCTTCTGAATCCTTGAAGTCAGCCATAGCCAGATCTTTGTTCAAAAAGTCCAATGCTTCTGCAACACTCTTGCTCAAAGTCTGGACGCCAAGTTTAACTTTCATCTTTTCATTCACCCATTGGAGATTCTTCTTGTTTTTTCTTATCACTAGGAAACCTGAAAGATCAAAAACGTGTCTAACAGAAGAGTATTTTTTGAAAATCACCACACATACAGTGTAAAAACAACCAATAACTATAAAATGTCTATTTCTTAATACTAAAAATCACAACGCATCCCCATGCGCTACGCCCTTGTCCTCCTCTAACCTCTAACTCACCTGTGGAAGGTTGCCTCAGTTTTTTCACTGCTAACTCCACAAAGAATGCACTTCCGACGTCCCATTGTCTTTGAAAATTGTCTATCAATGATAACAATGCTATAATTGCCGCTAAAACAACCTGAAAACATTTTTGAATACTCGCAACAAATTCACCGTGCACAACAACAAACACCAGATGTTTGTAAATTCTGTGTACGCATACGCATCCACCACTTGCCGTTGAACACCGTTGCCACGTTCGGCAAAAAGTCGGTAGAAATGTGCTAGTTTCGAATGAGAGCAAGTTTCGTCCAAGGTGGAACAAATCCAGTCAAACAACTGACTGGGCAAAATATTATATGTAATGTTCGCTATGAATTACCCAACATGAACCTGCATCCGTTTTGAATTGAATTTATGGCGTGTCGGCCACCTCTGTGACCGTTTTTGCGAGTATAAACAAACACGAAAAGAAAAAATAAATTTTTAAAATTTAAAATGACATTGACAACTGCCTAGGAGCAGTTGTTTGATCGACCCACGATCGACCGGAGCGTCCACACCTTATTTAAGTCCACCTTCATTTCGGGCGGAGTGCACACCAATATCTCATTCCATTTTCAATAGATTTTTCAGTCTGGAGAAGTGGCAGCGTCGCATATATTTGTTTACTGTAAATACAGTTATGTTGACGACGATATTTTGTACGGAATTATTTGTCTATTTATATTTTTAGTCTGAGGTTTAATTCCATACTATTCAATGGCAACTTGGCAACACGGTGACTTGTGTGTTTGTCAGCGGCCATTTTTTGAGGGTTCGACACGGTTGCCAAATTGTGCATTAACACCCCGCAACTTTGCCAGCTCTACAAATATATCTGAGATTGCTATACTTTTATATACAGGGTGACTTTGAAGTTGAGTCATTAATTTTCAGATAATGATTGTAGGAGGAAGATAAACCAGAATATGTGTGTAAAAATAAAAAATAAAATAAAAAAAATGTTACCTTGTTTTATAAAGTATCCTCCCGACAAGTATTTCAGTGCGGACCTGTATTTGATCGTGCGGTCTTGGAGCACCGGCATGCCCTCCCCTGTGAGGTCTTAAGTCACCTGATTCACGAGCCCTTTGTACTACATTAACAAAGGCATCTTGAAAACATAAGCAATTTTTCTTAGTACCATATACACCCATGTCTTAAGGGAACCGAGATAGATAAAGGGCTCTGCAACATCAAAAATATCTGAATACCGTCCTGTAGCCGCGACCCGGGACATCACCCAGTGGTACAAGGTCTCAACCCGACGGCAGAACTGGGTCGGGGTCATCGTGTCAGGTTAGTATGCAACCTTCAACCGACGGTTATGGTCACGCGTGTAGAGGTAAACGAACTCGTATAATCGATTGCGTTTCAAAAAACAACAAGCACTAGAGACGTGGCTAGAGAAGTGCAAGTATCAAAAACTAAAGTGTGGCAAACGCTGCGTGAAGAGGGGCTGTATCCGTTTCACGTCCAACGTGTACAAGCCCTTCAACCTGACGATTTTCCAGCAAGAGTGCGGTTTTGTGAGTGGTTGTTGCATCAACATGACAATAATCCGGACTTTTTGAAGTGCATATTGGTGACAGACGAATCTACGTTCACGCGTAATGGGGTGAATAACTTTCGTAACACTCATGTTTAGTCAGTAGAAAATCCGCACGCTGTCCGTCGGGCACATTTTCAACAAACATTTTCGGTGAATGTTTGGACTGGCATGGTGAACGGTATGCTCATTGGACCATTTATTCTCCCAAATCGATTGGACGGGATGCAATACCTAGACTTTTCACGCAACATTTTGCATTCCTTGTTAGAAGATGTGCCATTAAGTGTAAGACAATCAATGTAGTTTCTGCGTCTGCTCGATAGCGCTTCAGCTGATTTCATTTTCTGTTGGAGCGGTATGATTTAGGGCAGAGACGTACTTAGCCCTTCTCGTCAACTGGAGAGTGAGTACCGTTTCCTTTATTTTTTTTACTTGGTCGCCCTCGTTTCACTACACATTACCTTTGTTATTTCAAGGGTAGTTGTTTCTGAAAAGGAAAACCCCAACTTTGCGGACACCCTGTATATATAAAGTAGAAAAATAATGGGCAAAATCCGCAAAAAATAGGAAAGTGGATTCGAGCAGAAAATAGGATAGGTAACCCGAGCGATACGTATTTCTGCTGGTTGGCTTCATCAGACCCGAAATGAATGCACATATGAAACTACAAAAGTAGATACACATGCCCACACATCCGGATACGGGTGTAACCCGAGGAAACGAAGATGGAGAGGGGAAAAAACGACAACGGCAAAATCCGCAAAAAAGAGGAAAGTGGATTCGAGCAGAAAATAGGATAGGTAACCCGAGCGATAGGTGAATTCTGACGAGCTTAACCGTAAACTAACAACATGTCGACCAACTCTTGATTCGAGAACATTGTAAAGTTCTCAGTGATAAACACTACAGACAAGAACCATTTGATCTCACAAAACATATGCAACCAATAATGCGTTTAGTTTAGTTGAGTGATTCCTCCTAGATGGACGTTCACAACGATCCTAGTGAGCAAACGGGGAATGACAGTTTGCACCCTAAAAACTAACTAGTTTGCAAGATGACATCTTATAGGTTTTTTTGACGTTTTATAGGTCTTTACAGGATCCCCCTGCGGAGCTAATACTGAACCTTGAAGTACCCATGCGTTAATATTTAATTTATTTGGAATATGTCTTGGTAATTTTGTGAGCAAACGTTTGTGCGAAAAAAAACGAGAACAACTCTTATAAGGTATTTGTTATTGTTATATTGACGGAAGCAAAAATCAAATCAAATTCATACCACGCATGAAACACAAAAATATAACGAATTCTTGTAAATACAGGAGACGTACTTATATCTAATGAGTATTCTTGCCCAACTGATTGAACCCACATTTTAACGAATTATATAATGTTGAAAAAGTTGAAAATTGATATGTTATTATAGATGAGTATTGTTTACACAATAATTGACTAAGTTAGTCATCAGACATGTCATTAGGAATTGAGTGAGGCTTTATTCGATGGGTTCCCATGTCCACTTCCTGGCTTCATCATGAGATCATCTCCATGTCAATTGTCATATTAACACGTTCGCTGCCAGTAAAATGTTGTTACATGTAGTCAGGGGACAAGGGGGTTTTTAATTTTTTTGCCTGAAAATTGCTTAAAATGATACTAAAAGAGCGATATATTGTAATTTTAAAAAAATAATTTGCGACGGTCTAACTACCCAAAAACCAACCAAATAACATTGGATGATGGCCGCGAAAGCCTTTCGCATTTTAAATTGTAATTATCGAATATTTTCTTACCTGAGTACAAATATTTTTTTGGTCGCTAGATGGCGACACTGGCACTACAGGTAGAATTTAGGACAAACAGCTTACGTAAAAGTTCCCAAAAATGTTTAAAATGTATGCCACCTGAAGCACCATATAATAATAGATCACAGCGTCGCCCTATGGCGACGGAGGCACAGCAGTTTAGACATCGGTGTCGCCAATAGGCGGCAGTGGCATTGAACGTGTTAAACGTTCCGATTAGAATGACGTCACTTTGCTTATTGTGTTTCATCAATCTCTTTCATTTGTTATCCATAATATGGGAGTGACTATCGAAATTATAAATCAATGTTCAAGCCCTTTCAGTCGATAACCGTATAATATGGGTAACTATAGAAATTATAAACGCCATCTTGCGACGGTCGATACATTTGATTTGAAATGACGACACTTTGGTTATTGTGTTTCCCTCATCACGTTCTTTCATTTGATACCCATATTATATGCTATGGAAATGATAAATCACCATTATGTAGACAGGCATACAAAATGTTAGTTCAATCGGTTAAGGTTAATTGGTCCAAAATTCAATTTCAAGATTTGTCCCACAAATGCATGCTAATGAACTAACATTGTAACAGTTACTTTTACAAAGCAGTTTAAATTGAAAGCCCAACACAAATTAAGCCAGGAGAAAATGAAAATGGTTCAGATTACATTCATATTTTCCGTCTCTTTCTCTAAATGCGCAACTTTGGCTTGTATTGCAATGCTTACCGTTTCCGAATTTTAAATACCCAGTGCATATACCATATATAGAGTGCTTTTAGCAAAGTTGAGTTTAAATTCAACGTAGATTTCAACTAATCATCATAGATAATTTTCATAAAAAAACACGTCATTTAATTTCGTGGGGCTTGCGAAAAGGAGGACAGCTTCTTCGAAGACGTCCATAAACAGCGAGAGTGAAAATAGTGTGAAAAGTGAATATTTTCAATAAAGAGTAAAAGTGAGGCGGAACGAAAAGTTATTCGCCAGCATACCTGGTTTCTGCTTACTTGCTTCATCAGGCATAGATGACGATTGTCCTTTATTTTTCATCTAGATTACCTATTTGTAATGACGTTATATCGATATTTTACGTAATACCCCTGCGGCATCCGCAAAACATATCCATACAAATACGACATAAACCGCAAATGAAGTACGAATATAATTGATGAATTTTATTTTCACATAACAAAAACCTACAATGCATACTGGCACAAAATAGAGGATAAAAAAGTCTTTTAGAATTCATTACAAAAATCATAGCATAAAAATAACTAGGCAGATCTCTGTACGCACCCTCAGCACACAACAACAAAAAGTTACACTAGTAAGTCCAAATTATACAAAATATATACAACAAGTGGTATGGATCATAAATAATAACACCTCCTGAGGGTGGCTCCGAGAGACAACACATTCTCATGCGTTGTCGGCAAGGAGTCAATCCGTGCGATCCTTTAGTGTGAAGCAATTTACTTTGAAGTGCTTACACATTTGTCTTACCTGAAAATAAAACATTTAGAAGCATTGAGAATAGATAGTAGTCTTCTAACGACAACTGCGTCATTTATACTCAAGTACAAGGATTTTTTTAGACCGGACAATAATGGGTTAGTTGAAAAAATTAATGCTATATTTTTTCAAACCTTAACGACCGTAAAACTAATTTAAAAATATATATTTTCTTAGACATGCGACGACAGTGACCGCCATGTTTGGCCCATATGACCTTATAGCATTTGTAAGCAGCATCTGATAGCAGCATAAACTCAAACTTTTAAGCGTGGCTTTTACTATTTTACATGAAAAATATAGTAATGTACGATACATATAACAGACGACTCTTTGAGTAATTTTAAGACAAAAAGTTCATTTAAACATAGTCCGCCAATTCTTCGTTTTCAAGATAAAATAAAAAAATGGTGTTTCGTAAATATCCCAATTTTGTTGCAATTTAGGTGTGGTATTTATAACATTAAGGAGCTAATTTAGCCCTAGCTTGATTAAATTTATTAACTTATTAAAAATGTACGCCATATACCAAGGAATATGGGGAAATATTATTTTGGAAATTAGAACATCAACAAATAAACACTAAATTAAATTACATTAAATTATCATCTGAACTAATGAATTTTATTGAACTAAGGAATAGTAAATAATAATCAAGGGTTGTTGCCTTGGAAAACGATTGCGGCATTAAGGGCCGTATCGTCAACCGTTCCTACAACTGTAGAATGACTTTATGGCCTCCTTGATTGTCATAGTTTTCTACTGTTCCGCGTCAGCGCTCTATTTTGAGGTATGTCATCAAATTTTTCATGCTTTTGATTTATATCATCTGTTTTATCAGAATAAAATTTCCTACAATTCATAAAGAAAACCTAACTTCACACTAGGAGAGCGGTGACGCTAAGACGCTAACACGGAACAGGTGAAATCTAGAAATACCCCAGCCTTTTTGAAGGAGAGAAAACGCTATGAAAATCAGGGAGGCTATAAAGGCGTAATATAATTGTAGGATATGGCACTTAGTAAGCAACTTGACAGTCGTCAATTTATAATTTTTACAAAAAGTGTTTTAGTGGTTACGTTTGTCCAATATGGTACAATTTAATAATAGTGAAATGGCAGATATGCGTGTCTGTTATAGAAGGGCTCATGGAACCTATAATGCTGCAAGATGTATTTCTGATGAAATATTTCCTCAGCGTGTAGTGTTTAATAGAAGAACTTTTCTACGTCTCCATGCACGAATTTCGGAAACAGGCAGCTTTAAAAGAGCGACGGTTGTCATTGGGAGGCCTGCAACTCGGAAAACAGCTGAAGAATTGAATAGTACCCGTTACAGTGTGGCAGATCTCGAGAGACCAGCAGGTATATCCATATCATATGCACCGTGTGCAAGCTCTATTGCTTAGAAATTTAAGACTAGCTTTTTCTGATTGGTTATACAGTAAAATGATAAGGAATCCAAGTTTTTTAAGTCGAATATTGTTTACAGATGAAGCTTGTTTTTCTCGCAATTTAATAACTTTCACATTTGGGCAGAAAACAATCCATACGCCTCAAGAGAACATAACCTACAAGAAAGTTTTCTTTTAATATTTGGGTTGGAATTATCGGTGACCATCTCATTGGGCCTCGTTCTCTTCCACCTGGACTTAATGGAGAAGATTTTAGAATTTGTTTTACCTGGACTTTTAGATGAAGTCCCAGACACGGAACGATTCCGTATGTGGTACATGCACGAGGGGGCTCCACCACACTTTAGTGCAGTGGCGCTGCAATTTTTTGATGAAAATTGCCATAATCGCTGGATTGGGAGAACAGGCCCACATCTATGGCCTCCTCGCTCGCCCGATATGAATACCGTAGATTTGTTTTCTCTGGGGACACCTTAAAGCATTGGTATACAAAACTCCTACTGAAAGTGAAGATGATTTACGGAATAGAATCATAGATTCATGTGACATAATAAAAAATACGCCAGGTATTTTCATGAAGGTGCGTAATTCATTCGTGAGACAGCTACACGGTTGTATTGAAGCCGAAGGGGGCCATTTCCAATTCTTAATTTAGTGAAATTTGTTAGTCTAGATGTTAATATTATCTAGTATTTATTGTTGATGTTACATAATTAGGAATGAAAAATTATAAATAATTTCCAAAAGAAACTTTTCCCCATATTCCTTGAGTGGTCCAGGGATATCTCCAAAACTAAGAGTGAAGACAGACAGCGGTTTTAACCGAAGAGTTTATCGACTCGGTGCCCCTGTAATATACCATTAATAGTCACGCCTGTCTTTTCATGCGGATCTCAGGAATCGAGTCGGTTTAATTTTGTGACGCGTGGTGTCTTCCAACGTCTTTAGATAGCTCTATTAAGACAGGTACGTTTGTCGACTCGTTTTGTATAGAAATGGCTAGACAAAAAATTGATAATGTTAATTTAATTGGCGAAGTATAAAATCCACCGCCACTTTGGGATATGAGGAAAAACGAACACAGCCATAGAGTTATGAGAAGAAAATGTTGTGCGGTAATAAAAAATTTGTTTGCCAAAGAAAGCAGCACAATTGACGAAAAGAAGCACTTAGGTAGGTATAAATTATTTATGTAGTAGTAGTAGACAGATTTATTTAGCACATTTGGCTACATAAACAGAATAATTGTAAACAACTTAGAATTAGTAAATTCAAGCCATATGATGTATGATGTAAATGATGGGCAAGCTATAAATGTAGATTTAACAAGTGATTCCTCTATTTTACTTTAAATTTTGTCAAAGTTTTCTGGTCTTTTATCTCTGTGTATAATTTATTATATTCAATGAACCCTTGATGGAATACAGATTTGTAGCATATGTTATACTTTTTGGTCATTAAATGGAAGTCATCTTTATTTCTGGTATTATGTAAATGATGGTCGGCGTTTGATGATGTTTAATTAGTTAGACTTGATGGAAATATATTATTTTTTACTTTATAGATGAATATCATTACAAGATATTTGATAAAAAATTTTACATTGAGCCATTTTAATTTGCTAAGCATTTGTCTAATTGGAGTATATTTATCTTTATTCAGTACTATTCTCATGCACTTGTTTTGTAAAATTTGCAGTCTTTCAAAAATGGAACTATTTGCTAAACATAGAATAGTCGAACAGTACAAGAAATAATGGCAAATTAAAATTCTTTATTGGCTATCCGTATTACATGTTTCATCTCTTTGTACTTCAGCAAACAATGTCTGAAAATGACCTTTTTGCTGCCTTTGCGATGATTGGATGTATCCACATTCTCTTTTTTATTTTCAATAATTTTCCAGTACAAATACAGTAGCGCCAAATACAATACTTACATACCGATCACTGCGGACCAATGTTTATATCAACTGTTTGTCTTAAAATTACTCAAAGAAGCATCTGTTGAATTCACATTTACATACTTCATTAACATCTTGTATATCCATCTTTCGCTTTTAAATATCGTAATCGATATACAGTAATGGACAAAAGTATATAGACAAATATGATTATTTACACAAAATACACCTTTAGAAAACGAATTCATACTTCATTGCTCCATAAACAAATGCGTTATTAGTAGAAAAACTAAATTCCTTGTTTTTACATTATTTGCAATGAACACAATACAAGTCTGAATATAAGCACTTCTTTAAGGGAGAAACATATGTAGACAAATTCTTTTCCACATTAGTTTAGTGCAGTTTCGTGTCAGAAGAGTAGCTTGTGTTCATCAAGTATTGTGAAATAAGTTGAGTGATTTTAAGACCATGCCACGTGGTCCTGAAATTTATTTCGATGTGAAAACTAAGATCATTGAGTTATACGTAGATGGTCAACGTCAAGTCGACATTGCCAGAAATTTGAAGCTGAAGCGTAAATCAGTTTGGGCAATATTGAACATATATGAACAAAAAGGTATCTTTGAAGCCTCTAAGAGAAGTGGTCGGCCTAGAAAGCTAAATGCTAGATCAGTTAGATTAAAAAAAGTAATTTCGTCCAAAGATCCGTTTAAAACCCCAAGACAAATAAAAGCCGAAATCGGGACAAAAGGAATTGTCAGTGTTTCTACGAGAACTATAAGTAGAAGATTAAATGATTTGAAGTTATTTACACTTCACCCGAGTAAGAAGCCGCTAATCTCGAGGAAAAACCGTAAGGACCGATTACAATTTGCACGGTTGCATCTTGATTGGACCATCTGTGACTGGAAGAGGGTATGTTTCAGTGACGAATCCAAGTGCAATATGTTTGGATCAGATAGTGTTCATTACGTTAGACGTCCTAGTGGACAAAGATTGAACCCCAAGTACACTTTGCCCACTGTCAAACATGGAGGCGGGTCTGTTATGGTTTGGGGGTGCTTTTCGGGGTCTGAGATGGGACCTTTACATGGAATAGATGGCATTATGGATAGGTTTGTATACACAGACATACTAAAGAATGTCATGTTACCCTATATGGAAGACAATATGAACTTAAGATCAATCTTCCAGCAAGATAATGACCCGCAGCACACTTCAAATCTCGCAAAGAAATTCTTTCTGGATGAAAAAATACCAGTTCTCAAATGGCCATCACAGTCTCCCGATATAAACCCCATTGAAAATCTATGTGAATACTTAGCTAAGCAAATACAAGATAAAATTATTCAAACAAGCATGAACTTTTTGCCGCTTTAGAGCAAAAGTGGAGAGAGATTGATGAATCTTGTATCGAGAAACTTCTACAATCTATGCCGAGACGATGCCAGGCGGTGATTGATAATAATGGTTATGCTACAAAATATTAACACAAACATGGTTGGTTTTCTATAATTCAATGAACTTTGCTTCTTTTTTCTATAATCGTTTTGCTTTGTCTATATATTTTTGTCCTTCATAGTTCCTGTTTTTTCAATTAATTCTTTATTGAAGGGAGTCTAATGAATTTATTTATGTGTAAGTGAGTATTATGCTATAACGAATTATGTATACAGGTTGGTGTATTAATAAAACAAGTTAAAAAAGAAATACAGCACAATATTAATTTGTCTATGTACTTTTGCCCATTACTATATTTCGATTTACTTCAATAAATCGATGCCGACGGTTCGAATTCAATTAGCAGTTAGTGTGGGGTTCTCTATCACCAGCCTGTCGCAAATATGTCCAAATTGATTTTCAATGTATATTTTTGTCATTAATAATGATAATCAAGCTGTTGCCAGCATTAAGCTGGATACTACGTTGACGTCTTGGGGGTCAAATGTACTTGTTTCAGGTACTTTGTTCCACCGGTAACGTGACCACCTTGTTGCCGGTAATAATACTCTTACACAAACCGTGTGTCAACATTATGAAAACTGTAGAAAGTTTCGGCCTATTAAGCATACTCACCACTGATGTTCCGTAATGCAGATGCGTTAATGTTGCAACTACACACAGCGCATACGTTAAAAACAGTTCTAACGTTTGTAGCCTGGTGACAACCGCAATACCAACAACCACTGAGGTAGGAATTAATAGACAGTTGAAGATCTCACACCTGGTGTGGCTCATCTGAGCAACTATCAGACGGCACTGAAAAGATAATAGCATTCAGTATAACATACCTCACTACTTAGACTTAGCTTACATAGATGTTGGGATCATTTTCAATTCCACAAATAATTTATATGAACATTTATACGGGGTGTTTTCAAAGTTGAGTCATTTATTTCAACAGCTTGTAGAGATCGTCAAAAGAAGTTGATATATCTAAAAGTCACCTATATGAAAGTTGCATAACAAGAGAGTTAGTTTACATTATTAAAAATTATTCAAATAAATTATTATCAAGTTAAATGGATACCGTTTTCGCAAAAACTGTTCAAAATTGTCCCCATATGTTGCAATAACGCAAAATCTTGCTCGACTCTTTACAAGCTTCGAAAATAAAAGCGTGGTGTTCACGAATTAAATCACAAGCATTTTCAGTGTGCTGTTGAAGTTCTTCCAGAGTATTTACCGCTCCATCATGATACACCAACTCCTTCAAATAGCGCCACAGACAAAAATCGCAAGGCATTAAATCCGGGGAGCGAGCAGGCCAAGAAATGGGCCCATTGCGCCCTATTCATCTATTCGGAAACTCATTTTAGATGTCCAAGAACTTCTCGTCTAAAATGTGGTGGAGCCCCATCATGTAGGAACCACGTATTCTGTCTCACATTTAGAGGAACATCTAATAATTGTAGTAGTAGTAGTAGTAGAAATATTTATTTAGTACATTTGGCTACATAAACAGAATAATTGTAAATAACTTAAAACTAGTAAATTCAAGCCATATGGTGTATGATGTAAATGCTGGGCAAGCTGTAATTGTAGATTTAACAAGTGATTTCTCAATTTTACTTTAAATTCTGTCAAAGTTTTCTGGTCTTTTATCTCCGAGTATAATTTATTATATTCAATCAACCCTTGATGGAATACAGATTTGTAGCATATGTTATACTTTTTGGTCATTAAATGGAAGTCATCTTTATTTCTGGTATTATGATGGTCGACATTTGATGATGTTAAATTAGTTAGACTTGATGGAAATATATTATTTTTTACTTTATAAATGAATATCATTACAAGATATTTGATAAAATTTTTTATATTGAGCCATTTTAATTTGCTAAGCATTTGCCTAATTGGAGTATATTTATCTTTATTTAGTATTATTCTCACGCACTTATTTTGTAAAATTTGCAATCTTTAAAAAATGGAATTATTTGCTAAATATATAATAGTCGAACAGAACAAGAAATTTGGAGAATGTTGGTATTATAGATAATTTTTCTGCTATATGAACTAAGACATCCAGAAACTCTCGATAAATATCCCACTTTACTACTAATCTTATTTATAACTTTTTCATAATGAATATCAAAAATTAATCGAGAGTCAACAAAAACTCCCAGGTATTTAAAATTTTCTACGAATTCAATATCTTCACCATCAATATTCAGTTGAACATTTGTACATTGTTTTTTTCCGATTAACAAGGCTTTCGTTTTACTTGTATTTAATTTTAGTCTGTTAGATGCTAACCATTTTGAGACAAGTTTCAAGTCTTCGTTTATATAAGAGATACCAGTCTGAATATTTTTAGTACTTATATAAATCATAGTGTCATCGGCGAAAATCTGAATTTTGCATTTTTTTACTATGGCAGGTAAATCATTTATGTATAAAATAAAAAGAAGTGGTCCCGGGATACTGCCCTGTGGAACACCCAACGTATTTTCAATTTTTGATGAAATGGTGTCATTAACTTTTGTAACTTGCATCCTTTTAGACAAATAATTTCTAAACCAATCTAAAACACTTCCTGTTGTACCATATGCCTTCAATTTACCTAACAAAATATCTCTATCAATCGTTTCAAATGCCCTCTTCAAATCCAAAAATACTACTATGACAACTTCTTCTGAGTCTATGGCTCTTCTCCAATTCTCAGTTACCAACTGGAAAGCCGTTTCTGTGGAATATTTTTTTTGAAAGCCTGCTTGCGCCTCCACTAAAATTTTGTTTTCTTCTATAAATTGCATTAATTGGTCATGCACTATGGACTCTAATAATTTTTCAATGTCTGGTAACACATTTACTGGTCTCATATCGCTGCATCTTTTAGAATTTTTTTATTTTGGGAACTGGTGTTATTGTAGAGCATTTCAAATTTTCAGGAAAAGGACTGCTTCTCAGTGAACAATTGATCCAATTTAATACAGGATATCCCAAAATTTCGAAACAGTTTTTCAGCACGTTTTTAGTAGTGATTTCGGCACAGTTGTTATTTGATTTTAAACTGTTTACTTTTTTTTCTTAGATAATTCAATGATACGCTGTGAAATTTTGTTTGCAATCACCAAAGAATTTGTTTCGGTACCGTTTTCGAATTGAACTTGATTTACACAATCATGCGGCTTCGAATTGATCAGTCTTTTTAAAGTCTTCCACATCTTTACAATGTCGCACTTATTATCGTAGAATTTCCTTTTTTCTTCTCTAATTACATACACACATTTATTCCTAAGAGTTTTATATACCTCCCAATCATCATTTGATTTTGTGAATATACATTTTTGTATTGTTTGTCTCTCAAATTTTGAGCTGCCTTAATATTCTTGTTACACCAGGGTGTATTGTTTGTCGAGCAAAAGTTTTTATATTTCCTATTATGTTGTCATATATTGTGTCAGATTATGTCGAAGAAAATCTAAATAAATTTCACATGTCAGTCGAGGTCAAAAAAAGTGTCCAATAAACATGCCATTGACCACGCCAGCCCAAACATTTAATGAAAATATATGTTGAAAATGAGTTCTTTTCACAGCATGTCGATTTTCTACTGCCCAAATATGATTGTTGTGCAAATTGTGCACTCTATTTCATGTAGATGTGGCCTTGTCTGTACACAAAATTAATTTCGTAAAATATTAATTTCTGCCAAACTGTTCTAAAAGCCACTGGCAAAATGCAACCCTTCTAAGATGATCTTCAGGTTATAACGGGTACAAGACCCGTTGATAATGATAAAGATAATTCTGTTCATGTCGTATTGTCACTTTACTATGAGAAACTTCAACTTGAGCTGCTATTGATATAGTACTCATTGTTGGGTCCTCGTTGTTCTTTCAAGTACCCTATGTCATGAAGTCTAATATATAGATTTTCAAACATCCGTGGGTTCGGATGATTTCTCAGAGGAACCCTTTCCGCATACAATCGCCATTCTGCGGCGGCATTTTGTTGGCACTCTCCGAATGTTAGGATTGTGTCCACTAGTTCATTGTTTTCTTAAATATGAGCCATTTTTTCGCACAAAATAATCAGACAGATGGAAGCATATGCACTATTAAAAGACCGATACAACTGATTGAACCAAAGACTCGTACTGAAAACCATACAATAACACAAAAAGTTTGCCAAATTTAGATCAACGATAAGAGTAGTGAACAAAAAAAGCTAAGATTTTACACGGCAGTGAGAGAGAATATCAAAAAACTCCGTGTAATAACATTCTTATTTTTTTAAACTTTAATCTTTTACTATTTCTTTTATTATGCAACTTTTATATATGTGATTGTTGGTATACTAACTCCTTTTGACGAGTCCTAGAAGCAGTTAAAATAAATGACACAACTTTAAAAATACCCTGTATTTAATTCAAACATTAATTAATAAAACTGTTCTCATAAAACTATGCAGAAAATAGATATTAGGGAGTTATTGAAATACTGCCTCCACTATCACTGCCGACCTGACAGTCTTAATAGCAAGTGGAGACTGATCTTAAAGTGGTTACAGAATTAGAGTTACTGGGTGCATTTCCGCGCACTATTTCTAACCTAGAAATATTGGATAAAAGAAACTTTTATCTTGTTTAAAAGTGTACCAAGACTGATTTAATTCCAGTAACATTATTAATTATACTAAGTGACATATAAATCCGAACACCCAGTTTAAATGGTTTTATTTTAATAAAATTTTGTATAAGTACTTAATGAAGCATAATAAGTAAATGATAAAAATTTCAAAATGATTGCACTGTTTTAAAGCCCTTTGACATTTAATAATGTGTGGATGCACCCTGATGTGCTACGCATTCTCCAACGCGCCTAGGCATGCTTCTGATCAGGTGGTCAATGTCCTCCTGTGGTATCTCATTCCAGGCAACCACCAACTCCTCTCGAAGAGCTTCTAGAGTCTGAGGAGGACGTTGCAAATTGAGCAATCTCCTACCCATCATATCCCACACGTGCTCAATTGGGGATAAGTCGGGAGATCTTGGTGGCCATGGTAACAATGTGACATCATTATGTTGAAAGAAGTCTATTGTGACTCTTGCAACATGTGGTCGGGCATTATCTTGTTGGAAAGTTGGATCTGCCAGGGTGTCAAGATAGGGTAAAAGATGGGGTTCTAGAACTTCGTGGATATAACGCTGCGCGTTCATGTTACCTCTGATGAAGATTAAAGGTGACCTGGAACCATAAGCTATAGCATCCCAAACCATAACTCCAACAGTGTGATGAACATGTCTTTCAACAAAAAACTGTGGATTCCTCCTTTCACCACGTCGCCTTCGAGTTAAAGGGAGGACCCAGTGTGGCCGGTATGAAAACAAGCCAAAACTTCTTATTCGTCGCCAATAGGTCTTCCGTGTTCTGCAAACCATTCATTTGCAATGGACCTGGTAGTGGAGAAACGGTCCCTTAAGGCCAATAATTTTAGGCGGCGATCTTCACGGTATGTTGTTCAATGGCGGCGTCCAGTGCCCCTTGCTCTTTGCATACGGCCTTCTCGAAGCCATGCCTGACAACACCTAACCACAGTGTCTACACTTCTTTGCACTCTAACTGCAATTGCCCGAAAAGAAAGTCCAGCTTCCCGAAGTCCCACTATACGGCCCCTATCAAACTCACTAAGTTGACGAAATCGTACAGATCTCCGTACTCTAGGCATCGTAACCGATCGTAAAGGATGTCAAGAACCAAAATCCGCCAACGTTGATTCTTTACTGAGGCTAAAATATTCATTTTTAGAGCGTTAGTGAATTAAAAAAAAGCAGTATAAAAACCGGAATGTCCAACTGATAAGGCTGAAAATTTGTTCACTTGTTATTTACAGTAAGATAAATATATTCACCGACTTTTATTAAAATAAAACCATTTAAACTGGGTGTTCGGATTTATATGTCACTTAGTATATAAAGTTTTGCTATTGTTTTTGTGCTTCGTGTTTTGCTACTCGTTGGAGGTAAATATCAGTATTTTTTTATTTGAATGTTACGGCGAAAGGGTTCACGATTTAGACCAATTAAATAGCGAGAAAATAGCAAAGTACATAATTTATTTTATATTCAAAAACTACTATAAAAATTAAGTTATTTGCACAGAAAGAAACAACACGATTTTAAGTGTCCTGCAATAGTGGCAGGCACTTACTTTATTAAGTCCAAGTCTTATTTTTGTTTTACTGCGCCTGCTTACATGTCAAATACGGCCAGGAATTATTAGTGCCTGAATTTATTGGACGTTCAATAACTCCCTAATAAGAGGTATAATTTATATTCATTGTACTTTTTCTGTTTATTTTTACTAGCTCTCTCTTGAATTACCTTAACCGCGGATCCAGATTTTTCTATAGAATATATACTAATAGAAAACGTAGACTAGGCAACGTCGTACCCCATTATTCTATAGAAAGATAAATATTGCACAGGTACATTCTTACTACTGCTCAAGGCATGTTGTTGGTACTCTCTGGACTCGGTTACGTGATACGAGAATTTAAAGGTCGGTGTAAGGTTTAAATATGTAGAAGTTATCAAAATAACGTGTTTGACGACAAGGATTTTCGTGCAGAACTGTGTAATATGCAATTTATTTTGAAATCCCATTTCAAATATTCATATTGAAATTCTAATTATACCAGCTTGTAGATGAGAAACAGTGACAATGCTACTGTGCAATTCATTTTGAAATCCCACCACAAATAAAGTCAGGTAAAAATAAAAGGATTTTGGGAAAATTCGTTTTTCCGACTGCCTCGGCAAGTAATTTGTATTTCAAAACTTTCTGAGCGGCATCAGGCTAGTTACTTGAATATGAAACTTTCCCCCATTTAAGCAACTTCGTATCGCTTACCATTTCCGAGATCACAATGCTGAGGGTCGAATTTGAAACACTCCGTATGGTTATAATAATGTGCATGAAATACTTACAGAAATATTAGAAAAAATTGTCCCCATCAAAAAGAAGAGAGCTCTGGCGTCTTTTTCGACAATGTTACATGGTGAGTACAGAACCCAGACTAGAGTAACCAAGAAGAACAAGCCAACGGAGACTAGAGGTCGCACTGCTTCGCTGAACGGCCTCATATGGCCCGTTTTGTTCTTGTAGGAAAGGTAAATGTTGTACATCACAACCGGTACGTTTGATATGAGTGACGAGACGTACAACAGCATCTCGAATATATTGCCCGCGTTGAAGCTGCCAATGCGGAAGTGCCACATGTCGGATCCGAAGATCTACAAATAAAATATATTTTTTATTATTATATAGTATAAAGACATATTCAAAGCGGATGTTGTCTTAGAAATTATATTTTACATATAATAGGGCTAGATTATACAGGGTGTGGTCCAACGAAAAGGTCCCACCCTCATTTGGGGCTCTCTCCTGGTATATTTTGGAAAAAACGCTCGAACATGTCAATTTTTATTTCTAGGGGGACGTCTTTTCATCTATAGCCGTTCAACACAGGGCGATTCAAAAATAAGATATTGCGTTTCACTTTAGGTTTCAAAATGGAAACCCCGCTTTTTTTAATTTTTTGATTCTCCATGAAGTTTTTAGTAACTCTTGTATACCTGCACCACCTTTACGGCACAGAGCAGAGAATTTGTGTGCTCTCAGTAGAATGCGCAAGCGGGGAACTATTCTGTACGCGAAGATTAAAAGTTTGGAAAATAAAGTGAGGAACGCAGTCAAGCTTAGCGAAAAATATAAAAGAGGTGTTTGAGATTGAAAACTAAAAATACTGACCCAAACTCTCCAGCAACTAAAGTGTCTTCGCTTTTAAATAATATACAAGTTCCTGACGTTGTAAGAAAAAGACTCATTTTCGGAGAAGCACTGCCAACGGACCTCAAGAATATCTATGAAGATCTTGCAAGTAAACACGGAGAAAAGAAAAATATTACATGTTGAAGCTGCAATAAGTACAAAAGATACAAATTGCTATATAGATCGAAACATTTTTTCAAAAACAAAGAACTGTACTCGTAAAGTTAGCTCCAAAATGCTGAAAGTTAGGGGTGATGTTCATTTTTTAGAGAATGATGAAAATACGAGGATGTGCCCTTTAAAGTATAAAACAAATCTCAATACATCTATTAATAAATTAACTTATATTTTTTATTGAAATTCAGCATCAAATTGTTGTAAAAATCATTCCCCCATCCTATCAGCCATTCCCTCATTTCATAGTCTTAAAAGTCATTTTTCTACATGTTATAGACAAAAATATGGAGGACCTTCATTTTCAATGAACCTCACTAAAGTTAAACTTTATATTTCTGCAAAAAAATGATGTATTTTCATTATTTTTTTTTAAGAAATGCAAAATGAAATTTCTAAATTTGTTGAGAAATACCTATTTACGAAAAAACATTTTTTTTAAACTTTAACACGCTATATTTTAAGAACGAACAATTTGCGGACCCATGTTTATATGAACTTTTTGGCTTGAAATTACTCACAGAACCGTCTGTTAAGCTTATGGTACATACTTAACAAACACCCTGTATAGGTGTAAAAGAAAAATCCGTACTAAACTAAGTGACATATAAATCCGAACACCCAGTTTAAATGGTTTTATTTTAATAAAAGTTGGTGAATGTATTCATCTTAGTGTAAATAACAAGTGAAAAAATTTTCAGCCTTATCAGTTGGACATTCCGGTTTTTATACTGCTTTTTTTAATTCACTAACGCTCTAAAAATGAATATTTCAGCCGCAGTAAAGAGTCAACGTTGGCGGATTTTGGTTCTTGGCATCCTTTACGATCGGTTACGATGCCTAGAGTACGGAGACCTGTACGATTTCGTCAACTTAGTGAGTTTGATAGGGGCCGTATAGTGGGACTTCGGGAAGCTGGACTTTCTTTTCGGGCAATTGCAGTTAGAGTGCAAAGAAGTGTAGACACTGTGGTTAGGTGTTGTCAGGCATGGCTTCGAGAAGGCCGTACGCAAAGAGCAAGGGGCACTGGACGCCGCCGTAGAACAACAGACCGTGAAGATCGCCGCCTAAGATCATTGGCCTTAAGGGACCGTTTCTCCACTACCAGGTCCATTGCAAATGAATGGTTTGCAGAACACGGAAGACCTATTGGCATGCGAAGTGTTTACCGACGAATGAGAAGTTTTGGCTTGTTTTCATACCGGCCACACTGGGGCCTCCCTTTAACTCGAGAACACTGACGTAATCGCCTTGAGTGGTGCAGACAACGGTCACTCTGGGATCAGGAATGGAACAGTATTGTCTTTAGTGACGAGTCTCGATTTTGTTCAGGCATGCACGATGGTCGTGCCAGGGTTAGAAGGCGACGTGGTGAAAGGAGGAATCCACAGTTTTTTGTTGAAAGACATGTTCATCACACTGTTGGAGTTATGGTCACCTTTAATCTTCATCAGAGGTAACATGAACGCGCAGCGTTATATCCACGAAGTTCTAGAACGCCATCTTTTACCCTATCTTGACACCCTGGCAGATCCAACTTTCCAAAAAGATAATGCCCGACCACATGTTGCAAGAGTCACAATAGACTTCTTTCAACATTGTTACCATGGCCACCAAGATCTCCCGACTTATCCCCAATTGAGCACGTGTGGAATATGATGGGTAGGAGATTGCTCAATTTGCAACGTCCTCCTCAGACTCTAGAAGCACTTCGAGAGGAGTTGGTGGTTGCCTGGAATGAGATACCACAGGAGGACATTGACCACCTGATCAGAAGCATGCCTAGGCGCGTTGGAGAATGCGTAGCACATCCGTGCATCCACACATTATTAAAGGTCAAAGGGCTTTAAAGCAGTGCAATCATTTTTAAATTTTTATCATTTACTTATTATGCTTCATTAAGTACTTATACAAAATTTTATTAAAATAAAACCATTTAAACTGGGTGTTCGGATTTATATGTCACTTACTATAGTTTCAAATACCTTACCCCTGTAATGAAGAATGTGATGATGGTCCCCCACATGGAGAAGTCGTACCCCCAGGGCAAGAAAAGTACACCCGTGTTGTACTTTTCGAAATGCGAGAGATAGAAGTTCATCAGTACGTTCCACATAGTGAAGAACATGCGAAAGGGTACGATGCTGTACGTGGACCCCCTGCCGAAGATGGAGTAGATGGCGGATGGAATGAGACCGGCAGTGTAGGAATCGAGACCATGATCGAACAGCTCACCCAGGGGGCCGCTGGTACCGGTGCGGCGAGCCTGCTTGCCGTCTATACCATCTGAAAATGTAAACGACGGCTTTAGAAAATAATTAGATACGGCTTATTGAAATTGACAGTCCAAGTAGTAGTAGTAACAGCACATTTTCTCTCAGTGTGTCAGTAATATAAACAAAATAACGAACACCGATGGTAGATTGTTAGATCTAACACTGTGTAATTGTGATGGGACAGTCAGCAAAAATGATCCACCCATAGTTTTAGAATATAAATATCATCCTGCTGTACTTGCCGATTTAAATGTTATTAACGCAATTATAAAATAACTCGTGCAACCAAGAAAATATAAGGTACATCGACTTCTTGAACATGAATCACCCTACTTCAGAGGTAGTTCTCCTCGGCGATTTCAATGCCCATAACGAGTTTTAGTTGGGCAGCAGGTTGTCTAGTTGAAGCGTTCGCTATTATCCAAGGGCTGACCCAGCCGATGAAAAAATAAAGATGTTGCTGGATGACAAGAGACGAAACGTCATATTGAAATTCTAATTGTGCCATCTAGAAGAGGGAAAAAGTGGCAACGTTAATAGTGCAATTTATTTTGAAATGCTACAACAAATTAATTCAGGAAAAAATTTAAATGATTTTGGGAAAATTCGGTTTTATTCGTCCCTCGCCGGAAGTACATTGAATATTGAAACTTTCTAAGCGGCATTTTGTTAATTACCTAAATACGCAACTTTGCCCCAATTTAATCGATTTCGTATCTCTTATTAACACCCGGTATACCATTTATGTACTCTTATTTCTGAAACCGATCCTCAAAATGATCCCGCACAGTGATCTGATCGTTTTTCAGCTCTTCAACGTATGAAAACCTAAAAGCATATTTTGTCACTTCAATAAATACGATTGAAACGACAGACAACGCAGCAGCTCGTTTTTACCAACCTAACATATAGTTCGGTTCCAAATTGGAAGGCAGTAGAGAACTGTAAGCGATGTTGTCACGCACTCATCGAAGAAATCCACTGAAAGTCTATACAGGGTGACTTCGAATTTGAGTCATTTATTTTAACAGTGAGTAGATCTGATCAAAAGAAATGTTGTTTTCCTTTACCATTTTTCTGGTAAAATTAAAGTAACAAAGTTATAGCCCTTTGGAAGTTTGAGTACCGCCCTGTCTCAATAATAATATTATGTGCTCGTGTTTGGCGACAACGGATATAATCCGCCTTATCGGTTCATCGCATCGGAAACAAAAAAGCGAAAGAATTTGGAACGATGTTTTTACAATTACTTCATTCAGTTGTATACAGCCAGTGTCAGTCGCTAGTGGATAGTGGTGTCTGTTGTGTGGCTCAAACGAAATAAAAAATGGCACATGTTTATGCGGATCGGTTTCCCAATCGAGTGCAACCAACCCCTCGTGTCCCCTTCGGTTTTATTCGTCCCTCGCCGGAAGTACATGGAATATCGAAACTTTCTAAGCGGCATTTTGTTAATTACCTAAATACGCAACTTTGCCCCAATTTAATCGATTTCGTATCTCTTATTAACACCCGGTATACCATTTATGTACTCTTATTTCTAAAACCGATCCTCAAAATGATCCCGCACAGTGATCTGATCGTTTTTCAGCTCTTCAACGTATGAAAACCTAAAAGCATATTTTTTCACTTCAATAAATACGATTGAAACGACAGACAACGCAGCAGCTCGTTTTTACCAACCTATAGTTCGGTTCCAAATTGGAAGGCAGTAGAGAACTGTAAGCGATGTTGTCACGCGCTCATCGAAGAAATCCACTGAAAGTCTAAACAGGGTGACTTCGAAGTTGAGTCATTTACTTTAACAGTGAGTAGATCTGATCAAAAGAAATGTTTTTTCCTTTACCATTTTTCTGGTAAAATTAAAGTAACAAAGTTATAGCGCTTTGGAAGTTTGAGTACCGCCCTGTCTCAATAATAATATTATGTGCTCGTGTTTGGCGACAACGGATATAATTCGCCTTATCGGTTCATCACATCGGAAACAAAAAAGCGAAAGAATTTGGAACGATGTTTTTACAATTATTTCATTCAGTTGTATACAGCCAGTGTCAGTCGCTAGTAGATAGTGGTGTCTGTTGCTTGGCTCAAACGAAATAAAAAATGGCACATGTTTATGCGGATCGGTTTCCCAATCGAGTGCAACCAACCCCTCGTGCCTTTGTTAATGTAGTACAACGGGTTCGTGAATCATTTGACTTAAGACCTCACATATGGACGGCATGCCTGTGCTCCAAGACCTCACGATCAAATACAGGTCCGCACTGAAATACTTGTCGGGAGGATACTTTATAAAACAAGGTAAAAATTTTTTTTTATTTTTACACACATATTTTGGTTTATCTTCCTTCTACAATCATTATCTGAAAATTAATGAGTCAACTTCAAAGTATATTGAATTTTTGCATGAACAATCAAATGTTGAACAATTTGCTTCTGATCTATTTAAAATAAGATATATAAGCAAAATCTTCAATCTCAAGTAGTCAAAGTCAAATCCTACGGTAAGAAGATCAGTAGCGAGAAGTCAAGCTTTGCGATCTACGTATCATTGGATAAGGTAGGCTTTATGATACTCAGTCGATGCGAATATTTCCATCCCCTGGGAAAACCTCAATTTTCAGCAGGTCTGTCTTCTGGCTTATACCATGCCTATCCACGCTAGGAGGAATGTCTCTTAAACTTGATTGAAAAACATTGGACTTGACAACATGGAGCAGTCCAAGCAAATGAAGGATACGATGTTGCCAAATCGAATTATATTTAGATATTCCTTTGATAACAGTTTATTTATTATGCTTCGAGATCGAAAATATACTAAAGAATAATAAATTGTGATTCCGGAAATCAAATCCATAGATTCCCAGAACTGAATTTTTGCGAACCAACTTGCTGGAAATACGTATTTTAAACGTGAATGCTTCAGTTCAACCGATAATAATTGAATATATATACATCAAGTAGGTCCAGTAGCAAAAAATGTTTGAATGTGGATGTCATATGTGAAAATCTGATTCATGTGTTAAATTTTCTCCAAATTCTGAATTTTCAAATACTCATAAAAATCGGGTAACTACGATGGCAATGACCTATACTAAGTGACATATAAATCCGAACACCCAGTTTAAATGGTTTTATTTTAATAAAAGTTGGTGAATGTATTCATATTACTGTAAATAACAAGTGAAAAAATTTTCAGCCTTATCAGTTGGACATTCCGGTTTTTATACTGCTTTTTTTTAATTCACTAACGCTCTAAAAATGAATATTTCAGCCGCAGTAAAGAATCAACGTTGGCGGATTTTGGTTCTTGACATCCTTTACGATCGGTTACGATGCCTAGAGTACGGAGACCTGTACGATTTCGTCAACTTAGTGAGTTTGATAGGGGCCGTATAGTGGGACTTCGGGAAGCTGGACTTTCTTTTCGGGCAATTGCAGTTAGAGTGCAAAGAAGTGTAGACACTGTGGTTAGGTGTTGTCAGGCATGGCTTCGAGAAGGCCGTACGCAAAGAGCAAGGGGCACTGGACGCCGCCGTAGAACAACAGACCGTGAAGATCGCCGCCTAAGATTATTGGCCTTAAGGGACCGTTTCTCCACTACCAGGTCCATTGCAAATGAATGGTTTGCAGAACACGGAAGACCTATTGGCATGCGAAGTGTTTACCGACGAATGAGAAGTTTTGGCTTGTTTTCATACCGGCCACACTGGGTCCTCCCTTTAACTCGAGAACACCGACGTAATCGCCTTGAGTGGTGCAGACAACGGTCACTCTGGGATCAGGAATGGAACAGTATTGTCTTTAGTGACGAGTCTCGATTTTGTTTAGGCATGCACACTGGTCGTGCCAGAGTTAGAAGGCGACGTGGTGAAAGGAGAAATCCACAGTTTTTGGTTGAAAGACATGTGTTCATCACACTGTTGGAGTTATGGTTTGGGGTGCTATAGCTTATGGTTCCAGGTCACCTTTAATCTTCATCAGAGGTAACATGAACGCGCAGCGTTATATCCACGAAGTTCTTGAACCCCATCTTTTACCCTATCTTGACTTGACTTCTTTCAACATAATGATGTCACATTGTTACCATGGCCACCAAGATCTCCCGACTTATCCCCAATTGACCACGTGTGGGATATGATGGGTAGGAGATTGCTCAATTTGCAACGTCCTCCTCAGACTCTAGAAGCACTTCGAGAGGAGTTGGTGGTTGCCTGGAATGAGTTACCACAGGAGGATATTGACCACCTGATCAGAAGCATGCCTAGGCGCGTTGGAGAATGCTTAGCATATCAGGGAGCATCCACACATTATTAAAGGTCAAAGTGCTTTAAAGCAGTGCAATTATTTTGAAATTTTTATCATTTACTTATTATGCTTCATTAAGTACTTATACAAAATTTTATTAAAATAAAACCATTTAAACTGGGTGTTCGGATTTATATGTCACTTAGTATATTTAGAGTATCGTGAAGGTGAGCCTGACTTTTCAGTATATTATTTCCGTTTATCAAAAATTTTGCGGCGGATTCCGCCTCGGGTCTGAAAAAGTTAAGAATCCGATAAAGCGGAAAGTGAGCATAGGCTTGACAACGCCTTAGTCGGCGTCGCGCTATACTCAAAAGATACGCCGCAATGTTATTGTATTCAGGTTCCAGCTAGTGTAGTCAGGTGCGGAGCACATACTATTAAGGTGTTAAGTAGGGATCGCGGATACGAAAGCTTGGTTAGTGAAGGCATCGTGAAAAATGTTTACAATGCACTTCGTTCGCGATTTCCTGATAAAAAAATGGACGAAACAGTGAGAGATTGTAGCGATATGACCAAGGTATCAGTCAGGTACCATTTATAGGATCCTGAAAACAAAAAAACAGGAGGTAAATCCGATAAAAAAATCGAGGACGTAAGAAAGTTGTCCTAGTAGATGATGTGAAAAATGTAATTCGTCGGAAAGTGTAAAAATGAAATTCCCACATTAAAAAAGCTCCAACGTGACTTGGATGGTGACGAAAGGCTTCCCAATATATCTCGTCGCATTCTGTTGAGAACCTTGCCCGAAATTAACATTAGATATTGGAAACCAAAAAGGAACAGTGCATTAAAAGAGAAAGATGACATCGTTATGTGGCGTAGGGAATACTTGAAAACATACGTAGTATTCGCGTAATCGGGAGACAGCAAATTTACTGGATTTATTGGATGAAACGTGGCTGAATAAAGGGCATACTGTTTCCAAGTTTTGGCAAGATTTAAATATGACAAGTCATAGACATGTCCATGGTGATAGATTGAGTACAGGTATGAAAAGTCCCTCAGGCAAAGGTCGCCGATTGATAATCACACATATAGGTTGTGCATCTGGCTTTGTGAATGGAGGGTTGAATATATTTGAATCCAGAAAAACTGGTGACTACCACGATGACATGAATGCCGAAGTTTTTGAATCTTGGTTCAAATCCATATTATCCAAGCTCGAACCAGATTCGGTTATCATCATGGACAATGCGTCGTACCACAGTAGACGTATAGAAATCCTTCCTACTTCAAATTGATATTTATAATTGGCTGGTATCTAAAAACATAACGTGCTGAAGGCACAACTGCTGCAAATCGCGCGTGAACACAAACCCCGATTCGTCATACAAGCTGTTGATGAAATCGCTAGGAGATGGAATTCATGGTATTGAGACTTCCACCGTATCATTGCGAGATGAATCGAATAGAAATGATATGGGCTCAGATCAAAAATGAGGTGGCTCGTAAAAATACGACATTCAAAATATGTCTGACGTTCGTATTCTATTGGAAGATGCAATCGGTGCTGTGACAGCTGATGCGTGGCAGAAATGTGTCTCTCAAGTGATTAAAGAAAGAGAGAAGTTTTGGGAACTAGATCACTAAGGTACACCGGGGTAAGTGTAAATACGGGGCAAGTGTATAGTGTAACCTATGCCAATTTGTGGTCTTAAATTCTATCATAATGGCGCCATCTATGGCCAAGTAGGTTTATTATGATACCGGCTAAGCATCGCAATAGATGTCTTGCGCGCTAGCAAAACGAACGCTTCATCACATTTCGTTACTTAGTGTGTTTGCATTTACAGTTGACGACGCAGTTCTGTAGTCTCTTATAAAAATCTCTTTGTATTAAAACTTTGACGACTTTTCATCGTAATTTCTGGTAAGCACTCCATTAAAGGTATTATCTATTAGTAAATAAACTTATCTTTTCTGAATTTTAAAGAATTTTTTTTTAAATGTTGTGGTTTACACTTGCCCCAAAAGAACTCCCTTGGGGCAAGTATGAAATATGGTAGGTTACACTTGCCCCAATAATTCTATTACGTTTACACTTTCCCGTTGTTTTCAGAACATGGTCCGGAATTACATACGTAAGAAAGCTCCTCCAGCCTATAGCAAAAAGGATTTGAAAGAGGCAGTACCATGCTGTGCAAAGAGGTACTCTAACATTATATAGAGCTGCATTATTGTACAAAATACCCAAAGCTACTTTATTTACTCATGTAAAGGGTAAACGGGGTATAAAAAGTAATACGGGGGGTAGGGCACCAGCTCTGCCTTATGATGTAGAACAAAAATTTTCCAACAGTATTAAAATACTCGAAAAATGGGGTATGGGACTATCAAAGAGAGAAGTTCTTCAACTAATTGGGCGGTATGTGAAAGAAAATAATATAGTAACCCCTTTCAAGAATGGAGTTCCTGGCAATGATTATTTCGTCAGATTCACGAAACCATTTCATTTAAGCCAGAAAAAACCGCAATCTGTGGAAGTGGCTCGAAAGAGGTCTATGGATCCATTTGTTATGTATGATTACTTCAATATCCTCAAACAGCATATTGAAAATATCCCAGCATCGTAAATTTATAATATTGATGAAACCGGTTTCTGTCTGGATCCATCCCGGATAAAAGTTGTTGGAGAGAAGGGTAGAGCAGCCCATAGGACAACAAGTGGTCCAGGACGAGAGAATATAACAGTTCTCCTTGGGGGAAACGCTGCAGGTGAAAAACTTCCTCCACTCGTAGTGTTCAAGGGTAAACACATATGGAATAGTTGGATTCCAACTGAGGAATACCCGGGAATGACTTATTCAGCCACTAAAAATGGGTGGATGGAAACGGAAACCTTTCAAAAATATTTTGAAAACAATTTTTTACCAAATATTGGCAAAGACAGACCTACTGTATTAATTTATGATGGTCACACGTCTCACATTAGTATTTCTTTGATAGAAAAGGCAATAGCTAATGATGTGATTATAGTGAAACTTCCGCCTCATTCCAGCCATCTGCTACAACCTATGGATTTATGTGTTTTTAAGTCATTAAAAATGGCATGGGATGCAGAGCTCATAAAATGGCAGAGACAAAACTATGGTACGAAACTACCAAAACCTATGTTTTGTACCATTTTATCAAAAATCTGGTCACAAGTAAACCCTTCGTTACTTATCAAAGGATTTGAGAAAGGGGGGATATATCCTTTTAATAATGAGGTCATTCCCGTTGAACATTACGATCCAGAAGCATATAAAAGGTGGTGTGATTCAAACTGCAAAAATAACAATCCGGAAGAAGCACAAGTAGCGCAACCAAATTTACGATCAACATTAGAAGAGCGTTTTAATTTGCCATCCACTTCAACAGTACCACCAATAACTCCGCAGACATCGTCAGTAAATTCAATAAATCCGGAAATGCCATCGACCAGTTCAGAACACCAGAATCCGCCAGTTAACAACACAAAAAGTTTTGAGAGCATTCTCTTAGAACAGCTAAAACAGATGCCAAAACCAGCGAAATCTATCAGAAAGAGAGTATGTATAGGTGCCGAAGTTATTACATCCTTGGAAGCAGTTGCTAAATTGAACGAGAAAGCAAACAAAATTAAAAAACCAGAGAAGTCGACAACTAAGAAAGATGGTAAAAAATTGAAAAGAAAGCAAGTATACGAAGAAGACACAGATGAAGATAGTTTTGAAGAAATGGAAGTCAATACTTCAGATGATGATTTTGACTTAGACGATGAAGTAAATGATTTGCGTGAAGAAGAAGAATTCGTGAAATACATGGAGAAAGATCCTCAAGAACTGAAAATAGGGGACTGGATTCTAGTAAAATTTGCTACTAAAAAATCATTTAAATTTTATGTAGGGCAAGTAACAGAAGTAGAGCCATGTTTAGAAGCAAAATTTGCAAGACGTTCGGGATCTTCATCACAATTTCATTGGCCAGATACTCCAGATGTCTCAGTTATAAGAAGAGATGAAATACAACACTGTTTGCCTGCCCCAGATATTCACAGAAGAGGACACTTCCATTTCAACATCACATTTGAGCAAAATATATCCTAAGTGATTTTTCCTAGTAAAAAAATCTGATTATATTTAGTCTCTTCTTTTATTTACACTAGCCCCAATCAAGTCTCAACACTTTTGTAGTAATTCAGACAGCGTATTTACACTTGCCCCAATTTGCTGGGGAAGTGTAAACCATTATTCTAACATGAAAAAAATAATTTCTAGAAAAAAATCTATACCGATTTTGTTTTGTGTTTGTAGATTTCTTTTCTACATATACTTAAGACTGTACTCTCAAAATTTCAGTGAATATCATAATTAAAAATAGGAAATACAACTCGAAAAAGTTGAACTATTGAAATTTTGGGTCACACTTGCCCCGGTGTACCTTATATAGAAAAAGCAATAGAGCCAGTAATCATCAACCTCGGTAGCAACGACGGCTGTGACAGTGATGATTCCTACAATTCAAGCTCAAGTAGTGACGATACTTCTACATCTCCTGACTGACCACATTATTAACTTTTTGTGTTTCAAGAATATTTATTATTACAACTAGAACACAAGTATAGCAAATCTTTGTTGATAATCAATACATTCCAACATATATTGCTCATCATCATCATCGTTTTATGTTTAAACTTTTTCCGTACTATTTGCTGAATTTCGCGTTATTTGAATTTTGTTCGAGAAGTTACTTCCATATTTCACAATGTATTGTTTAAGATTCATATGTTTGACAATTATATCAAACATAAAGAAATTTCTCTTACCTCATTAGTCATACCTTCAATGACGTAAAATTGTGTGATTATAACTTAGATGTTACTCGAAAATGTCCAAAAAGCACGGCAAATCAACGACTATCTGGGAAAACCACTAATCGTTTGACAATCACGTTTCGCCGATGCGAATTCAGGCACGAACGGTTACATCAGAACATGAGAGAAATGTCTTTACTGTAAATGTTTAAACATGAAATTCTACTATTACATATCTACTTTCAGTAGGATGTCAAACCCATTATGAAGCTCCGTTCTCACGAGGCGTGGCACGCTAGCGTGTGTCTTGCTTGCGTGGTATTGCCTCTGCCTGAACGAGGTACCGTGAACTTGCTTCTGACGTCATCGGGACAGCGACACGTAATGTGAGGAGAAACACGTTTTAAGAGAAAATCAAACTCATCCTTAGACATGCGCAGCAAATTTTTAAGATCTTCAGGGAACTTTTGTGATCCCCCGAGTTTCTCCTTGAACCCATCTACTTTCTGACAAAATAACGCTTATTCTTCGAATTTTTCATCCGTTCACATAACTTTCTTAGCCTTTTTGCTACCATCGCATTTAAAACCGAACTCAAAACCTCACAACTTTCAACCACATGTTCCGCCATAGTCAGCTCCAAGGAATCAACTGAAACTGAATTGGGAACCATGTGAACAGTCCACGACTGCTGCTGGTTCACGTTTCATCCCCCACTCCAGCCAAGATTCATTCCAGCAAAATCGCAAGCGTGCCACGCTGTCTTCTTGCCGCGTGAGAACCTAGCTTAAAATATTTCCTGTCGCGCCACTGCCGGTCTCCCGTCCATACCGACAAACGGTAGACGCGGCTTTCTTTCAAATTTGCCGCTGCCTTCAATTTTGATATCAGACTATAGACTATGTTGTGATTTCCATTACACTTTAATCAATATAAATCCATTCCATTTATGTAGCACCCGTTATCCTCACTATAAGTATACGCACTTTGAAAAACTGGTTATGCGATAAGATATGTCTTTTTATTCATTTTATCTACTTTCGTGGTACTCTTATCGATGTCAACGTTGCAACTTCGTACACTACTAATATTATGTTTATCACGAACACTCGGGAATATACGAGGTCTGTGATGAGACTGGCAACCTAGCGTTCGATCTGGCAACATTGGGGGTGCCGAGCTTGGAGGGGAGACAGAGGAACATGTGATCCAGTAGGCCTATAGTGTTTCGGTGGTTTAATGCATTTTAAGGGAGAGAGTCGATTGAAGATGAACAACGAAGCACAAGGCTTTTAATCTTCGAGAACCGATGGAATCCGGGATCTTGCGGGTTCAGATCGACGGTTAACAGTCAGAATGATCGGGGAAGAGTTAAGTTTGTCTCACACCACCGTTCATCAGATTTCGATCAGTGAATTGGGGAAGAGAAACATTCTGCGCAAAAACGAATCCAAAAAACCTTTCGTAAGACCAAAACGACATCAGGAAGGAAAGGTGCCCGCATTTTCTGGAACGTGTCATTACTGGTCACGAGTCTTGGGTGTTCGAGAAATCAAGCGCCAGCACAAGGAGTGGCACACGTCCACCTCTCCAAGGCCCAAAAAAGCAATAAAGACGAAGTCGGTGATCTAATGCATGCCAATTTGTTTTTCCTATATACAATAATCGACAAAAGTATAATATAGACAAATTAATATTGTGCTGTATTTCTTTTTTAACTTGTTTTATTAACCCTTAATTACTCGCATGAGGAACATTACATAACTGCTCGCATGGGGTCACAGGTGCCCCAAGTTGTAGGATATTTTTTTAATATATATTAAATATAAAATGAAATCAAACTATTTTATTATTAAAGTGCTTTATTTATATTATGATATTTAAGAGAAATAACATGAATTACTATCTAATGAAAAAAATTGAGCTTATATAAAATAATAGTTGAAAATTAACAATTTGTACTTATATCAAGAGATCAAGGCAAATTTTTATTATTATGTTGGGAACTATCCGAATCACTTTTCTTGCGCTGTTGACAGTATATGTCTGAGTGATCATTGCACACAAATTTTGTGCACTTTTTGCATTTAGTCAATACTTTTCGATCGCTTTTCCGCGGGCAACGCCCACGTTTTGCAGTGGTTGGTGGGGCGAGGTTGTCCAAGTCATGAACTTCTATAAGTCGTTTCTTTATTACTTTAGGAGTTGAATGGACATCAAGCCGACGTTTCTGGTGATTATGGACAAGTTCAACGGACAATTGCCGCAAAAAATTACGCCTCATGTGAGTACGTGATTTAGTGGTATTTGCCCGATGTACAACGAGAGCATTTATGCATGCAACGTTTATAAGATGGAAGAAAATAGCTAACGGCCATCGTTTGGTTCGACTTCCTGCGCTGTATGTACCACACAAATGATCATTGGTGTCCACTCCTCCTTTAGTGCTGTTGTAATACATAATTATTTCAGGCTTCTGCTGATCACCTGAACCTGGGCCGATGTGAGCTCCATGGTGCATGGAGGACAACAACACAACAGCTTGATTTGGTTTTGGCACATTTGAAACCGTGGTTAGAGTCTTTTGAAATCCGAACAGACAGCTGAATTGACTTCTGTCTGGTAAAATCTCCTCAGGTATATCGGGTTTCTTTTTCTTCAGTGTTCCAACGAAACATCTCTACACCGGTTCCGTCGGTGGCCCAGAGATCTATGAAATTGAGATGTGAAGCTCTCAACACTCCAGACGTGATCAACAAACCCAGCAATGCTTTTATTTCTTCAACGTCTGTATCTTTTGCGTCACGTTCCCTTTGAAACTTGCCTTTGACAACTTCGATGTACTGATTTGTACATTTTACCAGCAAATTGATAATGTCATCAGAAAAAAACAAACTAAAACATTCCAAAGCAGTCTTTGCGGATTTCGCTGATTACTTGACACCGGGTAAGTGTAAAGTTATATTATGTCTTCGTGTTCTTGCGGAGCTTGTTGGTGGAGACTTTGACCATTTTTGTTTAGGACCGTTTCTGCCATTATGTCTGGTAAAATAGAATTTATCATACTGCCCTGCACAGCCGTCGTCCTCGTTGTCTGAAGTCTCACTGGAGTGTGCGGACAATTCGTCGATTTCACTAGCACTATTATATCGCTTTGTGTTATCTCGTCTAACTCCGACTCAGAATTTGACCCTCCAACTTGTTCTTCATCAGAAGCCTCAACCAACCAGTTCTCAATTTGTTCTCTTCTATCCATGACGAATTCTGGAAACAGATACAAAACTCATAGTAAAACGTAATTTTTCGGTACTTTCATTTTATAAAACTACACAAAACATATTTATTAAATAAATTTATAAACTGGACATTCAATAATACAAATCGGATCAATAAAACACAAAAAATACATAAAATGAGCAACTTACCTTTTTCAAAAAAGTAACGCAATTAGTCGCACGGGGTCACTGCTCAAAAGCGCAACGACGTGTCCTTAGACTCCTGTGACATCGTCGCTACTAAAACACAAACGTCGACGCGTGGTCTCAAGCTAGCGGGGGCGCGGGGAAATTCGGTCCGCGGGAAATCCTTCGTTTTTGAATGCGAAACTGCTTTGACCCCATGCGAGTAATTGAGGGTTAATAAACCAACCTGTATACATAATTCGTTATAGCATAATACTCACTTATACATAAATAAATTCATAAGACTCCCTTCAATAAAAAATTAATTGAAAAAAACTGGAACTATGAAGGACAAAAATATATAGACAAAGCAAAACCATTATAGAAAAAAGAAGCAAAGTTCATTGACTTATAAAAAACCAACCATGTTTGAGATAATTTTGTAGCATAACCATTATTATCAATCACTGCCTGGCATCGTCTCGGCATAAATTGTAGAAGTTTTTTGATATAAGATTCATCAATCTGTCTCCACTTTTGCCCTAAAGCGGCAAAAAGTTCATACTTGTTCTAATAATTTTTATCTCGTATTTGCTTATCTAAGTATTCCCATAGATTTTCAATGGGGTTTGTATCGGGAGACTGTGAAGGCCATTTAAGAACTGGTATTTTTTCATCCAGAAAGAATTTCTTTGCGAGATTTGAAGTGTGCTTCGGGTCATTATTTTGCTGGAAGATTGATCTTAAGGGCATATTAGTAGATGTCTTATGGGGATTCGGTCTCAAAACTTCCAAAATCCGCCACCAGAGGCGCTGGCGTCGCGCGCCATTGACAGGTTGTTGGACGGAATCTGTAATCATGAGTTGGGGATTCCGCCGCTAGATGGCGCTGTCAAACCAAACGGAATCTGTGTGTCATTGGACACCTGTCATGCGTCATTGGGCATCTCACGCATAGATGGCGTTAAACGTCATCTGTCATACGTCATTGGACACCTGTCATTGATGGGTTGGGCATCTCGCGCATAGATGGCGCCGATTTGTTTGGCGGTGTACAAACCTAACGGAATCTATGTGTCATTGGACACCTGTCATTGATGGGTTGGGCATCTCGCGCATAGATGGCGCCGATTTGTTTGGCGCTGTACAAACCAAACGGAATCTATGTGTCATTGGACAGCTGCCATTGATGGGTTGGGCATCTCGCGCATAGATGGCGCCGATGTCGCACCTGTCTGGTGTTGGCGTGGATTACGGGGGGCATTCAGAACGTGTATACAGGGGTGCATCGAAAAATAGCGGATCGATGGACCGACGGTATATCGTTAAATCGTATATAGCAAGGCGTGACCTAAATAGCGTGGTGGGCTCCTCTGGTCGGTCGGTCGGTCGGTCAGAATGTCTCATAACCTGTATACGATGTACTGTTATTATTATACAGGATGATACCGTTCAAAATGAAACTTTATGTAGTAGAATGATGGTGGGGGGGTGGGGAGTCGAAGGAACCGACTGTTTTTTTTTTTGTTTGACAACAGGCTGAATACGAAATAAACATAGCTTTCTGAAAAATGTATTTTTTAATGATATACAGATACAAGTTTAGATAACAGAGTTTTTAGTTGATGTAACAAATCCTCGCTGGGGCATGGTACTCCAAATAGAGTCCAATGAAATGGTCCGGTCGCAACAACTTTTCTTGTAAATTCATTAAATTTATAGTAAGTTGCGTGACGGAAAAAGTAAATATGGCCATCAATCCATCGAAATGCGAGAGAAATATCTTCAGGTAATTCAGGAAATATGTCTCTTATCCGTCCTCTGTTCAACACATCAGTAAAATCGTTAGAAAATTCTATATATGACATATTATTATAAAAGGTATAGGACCGTCCTGCGTTTGATTGAAAAATAGCATTGATTCGAGCCCTATCGGGTATATCAATTGAAAAATTATCAAGAAATTTAATGGTAGGGAATGATGCTGAGAAATAGTTGTTTGGAGACACAATGGTAATCAAGTCACCGTTTGTTGATTGGAAAATATGTTGTAAAGTGTATTGACGTAATTCTGTAGGAACATAATCGACAAGAAGTTCAGGCTGAGATGGGATAATCATTTCGTTTAAGTCTAGTTTCCATATAAACATATCATGTGCAATATATAATCGGTAATTTGAAAACTCTGGAGCAATAGCTAAAAACATAAAATCTGGAATAATATCACACAAATTTTTGAGGATCGGCTGCTTACGAGTTGTAGATCTTATAGTTGTTGTTGTTTTTGGTATTGCTGATGCGGTGGTAGACGTTGGGATTGAATCATATTTGTTTTTTCTTCCATATAGATATTGTACTGCATTTATATCATCAACATCTAGACCACGAATCTCATGCTGATAGAAGGCAAACATAATAGCATTCGGAGAAGCACTATGTGCTATGCCGAGGGCATGTCCAATTTCATGAACCAACACCATAAGAAAACTAGTTTGATTTTTGGGTATATTAGGATTATTTCCAAAATACCAGCGTTCATTTATATCTAAATGGATTTCTCTACAGGTGCCGCTAGAGTCAGGAAAGTATGCATGTCCTAAAACGCCGCCAGCATCATCTAATGTCAATGGACATTCATCATTACCCATACAGTTTGCGCTAAAATAATGAGTCTTGCTAACCATGGTTATAGTAATATCAGGAGGATATAGAGTGGGATTGGTAACCATTGTAAATGTTAAGTTTGAAACATTTTGCCACATCTGAAAAGCCATTTCTGCATCTTTTTGGGCCGCAGGTGTGTTTCGAGGGAAATACCATTTCAGGTCATGTTTCCGAAATGGAAAACTTGCTCTAAATTCAGCATCACTGTATTGACAACGCGGACGATTCATAAATTCAATTGTTGCATTATTCAACAATCCATCCACTGGTAAATTATACTTTTCTTGCAAGTTAGTTAGCAAAGTAGAGAGATCTGTTGTATTATCGATGATATGTTCATATTGAGTTAGGTATACTATAGCGTCTTTTTCGGAGAAATCGTTGCAAAGCACGTATGTGAAAGTTGAAATAAAAAATAATACGTCTACCCACATCAACATCTTGATAGAGAATGATGTCAAAAATCTCAGATAGCAAATATAAATTCGTTTACCCCCCCAATCAAAATCTTGACTGAAAAAAAATTAGGCAGCAAATATACAATAATCATACACGAATTTCTATATTTCTAAAATTCTACTCTCATGTGCAACTTGTAATTGGAATTTCCGCCGGACAAACGATACATTCATGTATTACTAAGAAATTATATAAAAAATACTGCAACCGCAATGAATGTTGTTTTCTCGATAAAAATGGTACTGAGAATATGATGAATATAATATGCATATTTACGATACAATTATCTCATGTACGCGTGTGTCATCTCAACTACGTACTTATATTGAGCGAGCGCATGCAGTTTTCTCGATAAAAATGGTACTGAGAATATGATGCATATAATATGCATATTTACGATACAATTATCTCATGCACGCGTGTGTCATCTCTACTACGTACTTATATTGAGCGAGCGCATGCAATAGTCATCATTGTTTCACACTTAACGCACAACGCTGCAAGCTGCAACAACGACCGCAGTACAATTAGTGCTTCGAGAGAGACGAGAGAGCGAAAATTTTAAAAAAAGTAAGTGCTATTTTATTTAATATTTTTCTTTTTTATGTCTCTAAATGCAACTGTTTTTTTTTTCGTGTTATGCTTCAAAATAGTTAGACGACTCAATTTTTTTTATAGATGGATTTATCAAAAATTAATGCTGCGTCTTCGATTGTAGACCGCAAACCTATCAGAAAATTAAAGGACCTACCAGTTGGGACACCATTTGCAATCCAAGCAGCTAAAGTGGTCAAGTCGAAATTTGGGGAAGCCGTGCTACTAGATTTAGGACCGGAAGTGCTATTTCTACCACAGCGGGTGACGGAAACGTACCAGCCGGTCATCGACGAACTTTTTCACGGAAAATACTCGATCATCTTCCAAGGGGAAGTGGACGTAGGGAAAAGCCGACCGCTAGCATCATTCAAAATAGTGGAAAATTAACAAAGCAGAGAACAGGAGGAGGACAGGGTGAGCATTTTTATATATTTTTGAGTAATGTGTTTGCTTGAAAAAAAAAATGTCGTCTTTTCAAATGTCTTCAAATAAGGTTAAAAAGATCATCAAACAAACAGACGGTGTTCTACTATCAATTGTTAGTCTACGGAAAATTTTATTTGATAATTTTACAATCAGAGACGCGGAAGTGTGGCTGAAACGAATAGAAAAACAAATTAGATTATGTAAACGGGTAATTCGTAGTAGAAGGCAAAATAAATTATCTGTAGGGACCTGTAGAAAAGTAGAAACAAATTTGGGGCATTTTAAACATTTTAGAAAGTTGATTTTAACTAGACATATTGGGGCAGGACTTCACTTAACATTGGGTCAGAGGGTTAGATGGGAAAATGTAGAATCGAGCTTTCAAAGTAGAATAAAAACCGGTTCCATAGCTAATTTGCGTCATAAGGACTTGAATCAATTTTTAGCAGATTGTGTAGTTGTTTTTAAAAGGAAAATTAGGAATATTTTGAACACCCATTGTGCGCTCAAAGTAAATACAACATTTTGCGGGGAGTTTATTAGGAAATCGGGGGATAATGAAATTTTGGGAATTAAATATATTAATACTAAAAATCATATTATTGATACATCAACTCAAATAGACGAGTGGTTTAAGATATATGTTAAAGATAAACTTTTAAACGAATTATCGGAATTTGCTGAAAAAGATTCGGGATTTGCGTTAAATAAAATTATTTCCTTAGTTGTTAATATCAGTAAATATCAATTGGGAAACGGTTCATCTTATATTAGACTACCAGAACCGATTATAAGGAAAAATGCTTGTATAAACATTAAAAATATAGATCAAAATTGCTTTTACTGGGCCATTGTAAGCGCTCTTCGGACTCCTAGCAATAAAAGACATGCAGAACTAACCTCCTCATATCCACACTTTACTGACGTTTTACAAACAGAAAATTTAGATAGTCCTATGCTGCTAACAAAAATTTCAAAATTTGAAAAGATGAATAACATTTCAGTCAATGTTTACGCTTTAGAATTGATCGAAACAGAAAAAAAATCATTTTACATAGTAGTACCAGCAAGATTAACGGAAAATAAACGGGATACGCATGTTAATTTACTTTTAGCTCAAAATAAATATTATCCGCGTTTAAATGATTATGATGCTCCTCCACCAGCGCCAGCAAATGAAGATAATGATTCAATCGATGAAATTAAATATCACTATTGTTGGATTAAAAATCTTTCGCGTCTTATTAGTAGCCAGTTAAATAAACATCGTGAGAAAAAATTTATTTGCGATAGATGTCTGAACTATTTCCATCAGCAAAATAAATTAGTTGAACATGAAAAACTGTGTTCTAAATTTAATAAATATAAAATTAACCTTCCTAAAGAGAGCTGCGTTGAATTTAAAAACTTTACATACCAACAAAATACTCCTTTTGTTGTTTATGCAGATTTTGAATGTCAATTAGAAAATCATAAAGAAAGTAGCGTCGTAAATTTAACTAAAACCATAAAATATCAAAAACACGTTCCGTATAGTGCTGGTTTCTATGTAAAATGCAGCTATGATGATAGCCTTTCTTATTTCGAGAGCTTTCGAGGTGCAGATTGTATGGATTGGTTTGCAAATCGTATGGCTGGTGTTGCGCAATTTGTAAACTCAAAAATAAAAACAAGCGTACCTATGATTGAAAAATTAGACACATGTAAGGCAACATCATGTCATATTTGCGGTAAGAGATTTTCAAAAACAAAAAAAGACATAATCGTTAGAGATCACAACCATTTCAGTGGAGAGTTCAGAGGTTACGCACACCAAGCATGCAATCTGAACTTTAGAAAATTGTTTGTTGTGCCGGTTATATTCCATAATTTAAGTGGGTACGATAGTCACTTTATGATTTCGAATTTATGTAAAAAAGGTCGCTTAAGTCTACTTCCCATCAACAAAGATAAATACATCTCCTTTACGCTGCACTCAGATGAAAATAACATTAAATTGCGGTTTATAGACTCTTTTCGATTTATGGGGGCGTCTCTTGATGAATTAGCTTCAATTTTAGCAGAATCAGAAAAGAAAATTTTACAAAGGGAATTTCAAAATTTAGATGAAGATAAATTCAAATTATTAACACAGAAAGGAGTTTTCTGTTACGATTACATTGATTCGTTGAAAAAATTAAATGAAACGACTTTGCCCCCAATTGAAAAATTTTACAATAAATTAAACGATGAAAGTGTAAGTGACGAGAAGTATGCTCATGCGCAATCTGTTTGGCAACAGTTTAACATTAAAACATTAGGAGAGTATTCTGATATATATTTAAAAACAGATATTCTGCTTCTTGCCGACGTTTTTGAGCAATTGCGTAAAAAATGTTTCTCCACCTATGGTCTGGATCCTGCGTGGTACTATACAATGCCCGGATATACGTGGGACTGTATGCTCAAATACACTGGGTGTAAGTTAGAACTACTAAAGGATCTAGATATGGTGATGTTTTACGAAAATGCTATAAGAGGTGGAATTTCGGTGTGTAGCAACCGATTTTCGGAGGCCAACAATAAATATATGCCCGAATATGATCCTGAAAAGCCGTCCAAGTACCTTATGTACCTGGATGTGAATAGCTTATATGGGAATGCTATGCAGCAACCCTTACCCTACGGAGGGTTCAAATGGGTAGATGATGTAACATCGTTTGATGTGATGTCAATACCCGACGACTCTGACGTAGGGTACGTGCTACAAGTCGATCTATCGTACCCACAAGAACTGCACGATAAACACAAAGATTTTCCGTTTGCGGCAGAACGTAGCGTACCACCCAGCGACGGCGGGGTAAAATTGCCGAAATTAATGGCAACACTTACGGATAAAAAAGAGTACACGGTTCACTATAAAAATTTAAAACAAATGCTAGCTAATGGGTTAAAGTTAACGAAAATCCATAAAATTTTACAATTTAAACAAGCAGCCTGGCTGAAACCCTACATCGAGTTGAATACTCGATGTAGAGCTGCAGCCCGGAATGATTTCGAAAAAAATCTTTTTAAATTAATGAATAATGCAGTATTCGGTAAGACCATGGAAAATATACGTAAGCACCGCGTATGTAAAATCGTTAAATCTTGGGGTGGTCGCTATGGGGCAGCAAACTTGATTTCGAGTTTTCGGTTCCACAGTCGCACAATTTTAGAGGAAAATCTGGTGGTTATCGAATTGAACAAGGCTGAAATAACGTTTAACAAACCTCTGTATGTAGGGCAGGCAATTCTAGACCTATCGAAACTAGTCATGTACGATTTTCATTACACCTATATGCTACCAAAAATGGGTGCAGAAAGGTGTAAGCTCATGTACATGGACACAGACAGTTTTATCTACGAATTGCAATGTGAGGATGCATATGAGGAGATCATTAAAGCTGATTCCAGTAAATTTGATACTTCGGATTATCCTGAAAATAACATATATAAAATACTGCGTAAGAACAAAAAGGTG